GACTTACATCAGATCCCTACTTACAAACGGGGTGAGGCAACCCTGCACTAGCTGCTTCCCCCCAGCAGACCAGGGAGACGCAAAGCTAGCACCCACCCTCAGCAGACCAGGGAGACGCGGAGCGGCTTTTCTCAGTAGACACCTCAGCTTGAGAATAAAAGACTGAGGGAAGTGAGGTGTGGAAGAATAAGACTGAGCTCTGGAGAAATGTTTGGCTAGAGTTTCCCCTACAATATGTACCAGTTCCGACTTACATACAAATTCAACTTAAGAACAAACCTACAGTCCCTATCTTGTACGTAACCCGGGGACTGCCTGTATTTGCATTTGTCTTTGTTAAACTTCATCCTATTTACCTCAGACCATCTTTCTAGTTTGTCCAGATCATTTTGATTTATGACCCTATCCTCTAAAGCACTTGCAACACCTCACAGCTTGGCACCATCTGCAAACTTAATAATCGTACTATGCCATCATCTAAATCGTTGCTGAAGATCAATCTCTGTGTGCCGGGGAGACAAATCAGGGCATCCCTTAAGAGACTCAGAAGGATGAGACTAGAGATCCGTGAGTTTGGGATTTCAGAATTAGATTCACCTCCTGATTCTATTAGGAATTGTTTTTACAGAAAATCAGTGTGAAGATCTCAGTCCAAATACACAAAGAAAGGATACAGCATCCCCAACAGGAACCAATCCGGATGCCTCCCTCTGTCCAGCTGTCAGCATAGAAGGCATTTTGGGGAAGTGGCTGGAATGCTCAGTGCTCTGACAGCCCGCAGCTGGAGGATCAGGGACAGCTGGTGGTGGTTAGCACAACTGCCACACTGCATAGAGTCTGGGACAAAGAAGCAGGGAGCTATAATCATCTCCCTGGCAGCTGCATCACTGCTGCACCTAGCGTAAGCTGGACACAGCAGAATATCTAAGCTTCAGTACATGCTATGATTCAACAGAAGCGTGCTGGAACATTTCAGCATGGTGACAACAATTTCCCAAACCATTGCACAAAAATGGGCTATAGACTTCAGGTGAGGACTTGGCCGCACATATAAAGAAGTGTTTGTGATTCCAAACAACAGTCTCCTCTGATCCATTTATAACATCACAGTTGAGTTCTGAGGACACAATTGCTTCCCTCGTTCTCTCCAATTGCTTCCCTCTTTCTCCCCTAACGCACCTGCTATGAACTGAGATTGTGTATCTGCAGCTTCTAGCCTGCCTGTTTGTATCAGAGCATGCTGGTAAAAGTCTAACCCAATACCCTTAGTACTTTAGCAAGAAATGTGAAAAACCTATCACCAGCAGGACACGGACAAAGCACTCTGGGATGTCCCACCACATAGGAAGCTGCATGGACCAAGCCAGTTGCACAAGCAATGTTAATGGATCCCATCCACATGGCAATAATAAACTGGTTACAAAATGGCAGCCATGTGCCAGTGTAGGATTCCAGAAAGGACAAACACAGTTGGAAGACATAGTTACCAATCAAGTATTTACCATTCTGCACATGTCACTAACTGGTTGGAGCAATTCCTGATTTGCATCAGAGTAACTGAGATCAGAATCTCATTAGAAATACTTAAACAATTGGTTGTAATATTACCATAAACCACAGTTTTCCTTGACTAGACTATTCTCTGCTGTGCCTACAGTTAGATAAGAAAAAACTTTATAAACAATTAATAGTCCTACTGCACCTTAGAGACTAACAAAAAATGTAGATGGCATCATGAGCTTTCATGGGCACAACCCACTTGTTCAGATGGGGTTGTGCCCATGAAAGCTCAAGATACTATCTACATTTTTTGTTAGTCTTTAAGGTGCTTCAGGACTATTTGTTGTTTTTAAAGTTTTTTCCAATTACAGACTAACACAGCTACCCCTCTGAAACAGTTAAGAATTTTCTGTTCAACAAATGAGAAGAAACGTAGAAGCTATGTCAATCATCTGCCAGCAGCATTACAAAAATTCTCTGTGTTTATAGCAGTGGCATTGCTAGAAAGCAATTAGTAAGGCTGAAATAAAGGATATGCATTTTCCTGTCCTGGTCTGGTCAGTTCTGATTCTTCAAAATGGATGGCATGTGAGTTTAAAAAGGCAGTACTGAACAATGATAAGTTAGAGGAGACTGTTAGTTGCACAATCTACAATGATTTGTTGGCACTCCAGGGCACAGGAATCTCCATATTCAGAAACATCTTCAGGAAAACCACATTTTTCTGTGTAGACCAAAATGAGCATTCAAATTAGAGATTTAACTCCTCTTCCTAGGGTTCCTGTAGATGGCTTTTGTCTTCATGTTCTCCACACCGGAGCAGAATCACTTTCTGAGAAGTCGGAGTTCACAGAAAAGATTTAGGGCCCCCAAAGTTGGTATTAAGTTGAATCAATCTAATTGAGTTGGCCATGGCCTGGCCCTTGTAGTGAGTTTACTCAAAAGGGCAAAAGCCATCCAGTACCCTAGTCTGCTGGGGTCCAGAGCCATTCAAAGAAGGAAAAAGACTGCTAAGGAGGTTTCCAGGGCATAGGAACTATGATGAGTCAATGTAACTCCTTGGCAACCTCTCTCAGCAGGGACCTGAGGGAGCCATAAACTAGAACTGTCTTCCCCAGCAGAATAGCCAGGGGAGAGCTCTGGTCACATTTACAGGGCCCTCTCCATGGAGACTTTCCCTCTGATACAACTGCTCCAGGGATGCAGGTATATAAACTACATCCTACAAGTAATAAGTGAAACTCCTTGATAGCAGGGGGTTATTAGTTTTTAATCTTAACTAGGTTACATCCCCTCCCCTCCATTAATTGCACTTTTCCCTGATCAAATGAGAAGTCATTAACTATTCACCACAACCATTCACTATTCATTAACTATCTTAAAAAAAGAGTGAGATCTAGGGTTTTAAAAAAAAACAAAAAACAAAAAAAAAACACCTCTGATTTATCCATTTTATTTCCCAAAGATACACAACTTTGTTGTTCTTTGTTTTAGTTTGTTCTATTTATGCTACTGGAGGGTGGCAGGAAATGGGAAGTTCCTCACATGCAGCTAAAACTGTGGAACACTTTCAGAACATCTCCCTTAACTTTTGGAGAGTTATAGGTCACATACTCACTTTGACCATTTTCTCATCATAGACCAGGAACTGGGATTTCCTAGGAAACAGCCAATAATGGACATGCCAGCTGTGGTATCAAAGAATGTGTTTATATTGCATGTACATACACGTGTGCTTTTATAAGCTTCATTTTTCCTGCGTTTTGCCAGGTCTCACCAACCCATAATCGTCCTGCAGGGACAGGAGAGCCGAAACAACAGACCCACACAGTTCTCTCATCACCACCCAGAGCATCATTTGGCTTAAGGTATGAGACAATCAACTCCCATTGACAGACCAGTAGACAGCTGGCATACAGCAGAGTCAAATGCCCAAAATCAGAATTGGCACAATCTGTGCACTTCCTTTCAATAAAACAAACAGCAATGGACATATATTTTTCTCTCTCTTACCTAAATTAAAGGTTTTGGGGGGACAAACACTGAGAGTTTCAAAAGACATGCTATTAGACAATTCCGCAGATGAATCTGAGCCATGAAGTTCCAATTTAGATCTGAATTTCACTAATATTCAAAGGTGTTTGATATAATGTTCTAGTTTGGAACATCTCTTAGCTTAACTACATAATTGTCTTGCATTTTCCCTTGGATTTAGGGATATCTTCATGCTTATCACCATTTTTACTTAATTTGGGTAACCATGGAAAATGTATCTTTTCCACAGATAATTTAGGTCAAGTTATTTTTGGTTTCACTTAAAAAAAAACCCCCACAATCTCTTTCCTGTGGTCTAGATCCACCTCCTCAGAAGTCAATGGATGATGAATCATGCATCACATAAAGTCAAGACACTATTTTGCTTTTTATGTTCAAAATCCTATGTTGGATCTAAATTTCTAACAGGATAGGAGAGAAGATAATTCCTAATAATTCTATATTTTAATTGTACTCTGAAGAAATTTAAAATTACATTAAAGGAGATGCCATGTTTATCATTTGTTCAAGTCTTCCAAATCAAATCTCTTCTGTTTACCAGACAAAAAATATTTTTGCTAATTACACAGGCTATAAACTCAGCCTAGGACCTGGCAGTCAAGTTGCATTCTTTCTGGTTTGTGTGCTATTCCCAGTAGTGAACTTTCAGTGATCAAAATGATGATGCCAACATTACAGGAACATTTCAATTTGGGACTTTATGGGATGATGACTCCTCCCATTCTGTGATGCTGGAGCAATTTGCCAGAAGAGGCAGGCTCCACCCAGCTTCCCCCATCATCACTTTTCAAAGGGCTAGTCAAAGATGCAGATAGGCCAGCCAGCCTTATGCTGTGTGCGCGCTGCAGGGTGGGCTGGATCATTTGTGGCAGCAGGTACCCGGTGCTGGCCTGTTAAGTGGACTGGGCAGAACAATAAATGGCCAGGAGGAATGGATCCCCTTCACCTGGGCCAGAGGGGCCCTTCAGAGCTTTCCCACAAGTAAGCAGTGGCCTGAGCCGGGCCAATTGTTTTTTGTTGTTTTTTTTTAAAACTTGTTTAAATTCTGTGACAGGCGGGGGGAAGGGGGCGCTTGGTTGGGAGAGGGCAGTAATCTTGAGTGGTGGGAGCCAGAGGAGAAGTGGGGAGAGAACAAGGGAAGCAAAGGGAGGAGGGATGTGGTGACAAGGAAGAGAGAAGTTAGTGGTAGGATAGGTCTCCGCTCTTTTCAGTCTCAGATATTTTCAGTGGTTGGGAGATTGTTTGCCTGGTGAGAATAGGGCTGAGGATTTGGTTCCTTCACCCCTGGGGATATTGAATCTATCAGTCTGCTGCATAAAGCTGGCATCATCATGCTGCCTCAGTGGGACATTTAACCTTCTTGGTTCTGTGAGCTGAATGGGTGCTGCTGTTAAAAAGCAGCACCAGCCTGTATTTTACGGGCATTTCCTTTGGCAATTCATATTCATTGTCTGAGGCAGTGCTTTTTTTGTGATGGTATGGCCTGGAACAGCATACTGTCACCTATTTTCCCAGCACACAGTAAAGGAATGGCATTTCCCCTGTGAGTACCAGCACCTCGTCTCCTGATCGACCCCCCCCCCCCCCCTCCCCCAGTGTGGCATTTTGGCTCTTAAAGGGGCCGCAACCATATTTCAGCCCCCAGCACTTTTTTTTTTAAATCAAGTTGGGGGGGGGAGGGGGGAACAGTACTGGTCTGAGGTACTTACTATGGTTGAAATCAACATAGAAAGCCCTCGACTTGTTTGTCTGAAGAAGTAAAAATAAAGTGGCAACTTTTGCAGTCTGATTCTAGTAATTTTCTTTCTGTCAGGGAGCAAATGCCAGCTGAGGATGAGGCCTGACACCTTTTTGATTATATGAAGGACACATTTCTCAATTAGCTTTAACTGGTGCTTGCCATTCTGTGTTCCCCAGGATCAATAAGAGGAGTTTGGATGTCAGCTATGAGGGTATATAATAAACTGTGACTGACATTTCTTGTTCTCAAATTTAGATCTGTTAATTAGATACCTTCTCCACATCTGGTACATGGTACAAAACACGCTCCATTTTGTTGAGAAAGAAATGGCAGAATTGGAGGGTTTTTTCAAAAAATAATTTGCTTGGGTTTGGGGATTTGGCTAGAAGGGGACAAGCACGCAGTGAGCAGGGATACAGGATGTCCAGGGAAGAGAGGAGGGAGACAGTGGGAACAGGGTGGGGTTTGGAAGGGACAGGGCTTAGGCTGGGAAGCTACTGCCTCCCAAAGTGGAAGTTTCACCAACCACCCATGGCCACTCATACTGATGATGTAGAAGGCAGAGTAGGAATCTAGGTAACTCTGTACTGCCCACAAAAGGTCATGATACCATCTACATCAGGGCTACTTAACGCACAGCACACAGTGCAGTTTGGGATTATGCGGGGCTCAACATGCAGCCTGCAACTGGAATCCTTTGAACATGGCCTCCTCTAGGAACATGCTCCACAACAGCGAGTCAATATAATGGTCTTCTGTTGATTTCCGTTTTAGTAGTTAAATTCCTTGACTGTCATTACTCATTAAAAGTGCTGTCATATGGGTGGAAATTGGGTAAATATTGCATTTTATTAATATCAGCAGAACTGACTTAAATGGGGCCTGTGCGTTGTGTAGTCTTGCCCTAATCTTTGTATTCATGCCCATCAGTGTGAAAGAAGCTATTTGCTTATATATGCAACCACACTTAAGCTGCAGCCCTCAGCATGTGCTGTGAGTATCACTGTGGTCCCCAGGGCTTCCAACGTTGAATAGCTCTGATCTACATTTTTGTTAGTCTCCGTGCTGCTGCAGGAGCATTCATTGTTTTTTAAGTTTTCTCCCCTAGGTGTTCGACAGGGTTTACAGTTTTAAACTTAATTTTGCCTGTAACATAAGCAGATACAACACAAAGATAAGCAGGGATAAATCTGGCACCAGTGTTATTTTAGGATTACACGTAGGGATGTTATTGACTAGTTGCTTCCCCAACCCCTTGCTGCCTCCATTGCTAGGTCTACACTACAAAGAAAAGTCGGAAAAAAACCACGCAAATTGCAAACCATAATTTGCCTATATCTTTTTCCACTTTTCTTCCAAAAGAGGTCTTTCCGACATTTGGCCCATCTACACAGGGCCAAGTGTCAGAAAAATACCCCTCTTTCAGAACATCCCTTCTTCCTCATAGAACAGGGCTTACAGGGATACTGAAAAAATGCATCTGCTTTCTGAAAATTTTTGTGAAACTTTGTGTTCCATTGATGCATCTGTAGTCTAAACGTACCCTATCACAAAGGGGCAACAAGGGGGGAGAAGAGAAGGTGCTGGGGGGGAGCCAGCTTAAAAGCTTCAGCTCTGTGGGAAGGAACAGTGGATTAGTTAACTACTTGAATAGTTGATGGGATTTCAATCGATTTCAAGTCGATAAGGACTAACATGGCTTTCCACCTTTGAAATGTACAAGATCCCCAGCGGGGATTCTTGTATATTTTAAAGTTGGAACACCACGTGAAGCCCAGGGCCAGCAGCAAGTCCCCCACTGACTCCTGACTCCATTCAGCTTTTCAGTCTTTGAAATGTACAAGAGCCCCTACTGGAACTCTTGTGCAATTCAAAGGTGGAAAGCCATGCTACTCCTTATCGACTAATCAAAAGTCGATTGAAATCCCATCGACTACTTGATTAGTTAAATCAAAATTCAACATCCTTAGTTACACCTGTTTATACATAAGGCTGAATTTGGCCCACGAGAACAGAAAGGTGCCATTTTAACAGTTACTTTAAGATTACCCTAACATTTACTTATTCCACATTGTAATTTCTGCTTTAGGGTCTGTAACCACTTATCTCAAACAATGAATCCTTGTGCTGTGCTAGCTTTGGAATATCAAGTGACTTAGAGAGCTACAATTAAAACAAAACCAACATTCACTACCTATTATCAAGTAGAATATTTTATCAATCTGTTTACAATAAGAGCCAAAGTAAATCCAGGCCAGGTTCAAGCATGTATGTTGTCTTCTGAATTTAGTGGCTTTTCCCACAATTATCACATAATTCCAAGGCTTGCCTATAGCTGTATAAATTTTTTAATCCTGAAAATCTAAACCAAGCAAACATCTTGTCTGCTGTACACTAGAGAGTACTGCAGTAATTGTTGTGATTTTCTATTACTGCATGGCACTTTAGAATACCTGAATCCAGGGCTATATAGGGACTAGTCTTGGCAGAGATGAACAACAGGACATAAAAGTCTTTTTGGTTGCTAATTTCTAAGAGTCTCTGAAAGATACATTAGTGGAAACAGGAGCATTTTCTAATCTAATTTATTACAATGGGAAAGAAGAGGGCAGATTGTAAAGTAGTGAAGGGCAACATAGGCTAGTGAGTGGCCTGCATGAGTAACTCTCCTTTATTTCAGTGGGCTGCAAGATTGTTGTAACCCAGACAGTCTTCCAGGATAGGATGGTTTTACTAACTGCACTCATGTGCCTAGAATTTACCGAGCATACCAATGGATCCGTAGCAGCACTTTGACAGAGAGAGCCATGCACTTCCTCTGCATCCAATCAGTGTTGTATGCAATCAGCCAACACCTCACATCACATGCCCTTGCTTTATGTGCATGTCACTTTAGTAATACTGGTGAAATATACCCTATGTAGATGGAGACAAGGAGAATCTGGCAGCCCAGCATGTGAGCAATGGTAAAGAAAATGTCTCACAAGTGACACCGAAAACCACGATGGGCAAGAGGTTGCCCACCGCTGTTGTATGATGCGTGAGAGGAGCAGGCAAAGAAATGCGTGGTCCCTTGAAACAACATAGAAAAGCAAGCCCATAAGCTATTCTCTGAAGACTACGGCAGGGGGAAGAGGTTGGGTGGATAACTCAATAGTGGGTTTCACCTCTCTCCAAGTCTCACTACTTCAGCAGAATCCTGGCATCTTGAAAACAGTAGAGACCCATTGAAAATATCAGGCTCTTTCAATGTCACGGTGCAGTTAGATGATTTTATCCCTGTCAAAAAGTATGTTTGATGATAGATAATTAAAAACCTCCTTTTTTCCCCCGGACAGGAAATCTAGAGGGGAGGGGAAAAAATGTCGGAAAGTGTATGGGATGGAGAACCGAGATATGTGGTGTACTGCCTGTCGTTGGAAGAAAGCCTGCCAAAGGTTCATTGACTGAAGACTAGAAGCACAGAGGATCCAGGAATGGGAGTACAATAGTAGGATCCTGTCGCTTCAGCTGCTCCTGCCTACCCTCCACTGCTGCCTTTTAAACAGACTTGTATTCAAAACAACGCACTTGTCGCCAAGGAGAAGCACTTAGCAAAACCTATGTGGAGCAATGGAGCCAAAAAAAAAAAAAGTCATGTCAAGTATTGAACCAAGAGCAGCTATTAATGTTTTTCTAAAAACAAATAATTTGTTGCTAACTGAACTATTTGCTCCCCCCCAACTATTCTTTAACCATGTCAATGTCTATGCTGTGAACCTTTGTCAGTTGAACCAAGTACTGTGTGTTGCCCTGAAATGAAGATTTCTTTTTTAAAACTTTAAACATTTAATTAACACTTTAGAATATAAACTACGGTTCACTCAACAGCAGCCATACCACAAGTGGAGTCTTCTAAATAATTCTGCTTATGTGAATGATCATGGTTAGGTTTCTCATTTGGGGTGTTTAAGAAATTAAAATCTAGCACTCCTGGATTTTTTTTTAAAGTGGTCACAAACCAGAAAGAAGAGTGGAGCTAAGATTTAGATTGTAATACTCCAGAGAAGGAAAAATGATGGGAAAACACCAGCAAATCTCAGCCACAAGTAAGTCCAAGATTTCAGGGATAGAGCTTCAACTGTAACTGTTTTTGAAACATACAGGAATATAATTTGGGTTCCAATATCTTTTCTGTTGCTGAAGCCTTATCACGATCCAGTAAATGCAGCTCTTTGAATTATACATAACATCTATTCAGGGAGGTAAGCCAACCCAGCAGTTCAGCTCTTGCTTCCTGTTCTCTTGTATATAAGATTATTAATGGTTTTAATGGTTCATTCATTCTTCCCATTGGTAATGCCAAATATTATATGCGCAAACAATGTATAGAAAACAAAAACTCCTGAGAAGTGCTCCCACCGTATCATCCCAGCAACTGAAATGCAACAGCAGAAGAGCAACAAATTATGTGTGTGTAAGTCTTTTTTTATTTTAAAATACAGTCACTGAGGTCAGAAATAGCCAACTTCAATGAAGAGGGCATGATAATGGGTTTGTGTGCTTTCTTGTATTTTAGTCTGTTTGAGGGTATACATTTAGAAAGCTGATGTTTTATTCCTAAATAAATGGAGTTGTACATCAATAGTTATTTTAATAGGAAAATGAAGTAAGGAAGAAATGCTATGTGAATGTGCATCAACTCCTGCCTGCTTCAAAGCAAAAGAAAACATGGGTATAGGCACTTGTCATATGAATAGAGCTATTCAGGCCCATTACAAGCTGAACTTGTTTTTCAGAGTCTGATAAATGGATCACACAGCTTCTGCTGAACACATTACTTAACTCGCATAGCTGCCTATGCTTATTTAAAGAACAAAGGTGCACAATTTTGAATCTAGCATATTGTTGGAATGGAAAATACAAGGATAGGAAGAGCCTGATTTTTTTAAACAAATTATTTGCTTGGTTGCATGCATAATTTGAGCATGTTATTTCTGTGACTTGTTTACAAATCATGCAATTTTCATGCACAAGTAGCTACTGAAGGTCACTTGCATGCATATAGTTACCTGATTTTTATACATAACTGTGTGCATAACTTGTTTAGAAAAATCAGACCCTGAAATCCAACCATGGTAATTTATTTCATGTTTTGTTTTATTAACATAACAGAAGGAAAAAATCAGCAGATATACAGCACCAACTGCACTCTAGTGTTTGCCCTTCCTTACCTTTTGGTGAATTCATAGGTTATGGGATTTTTTTAAAAAAGATTTCTTTAGGGAAATACCTCAGCAATTTAACTGTTTTCTAGTTAGTTCATTCTGAAATGCTGACTTTGTTGTCAGTGCCTTTTCCATTGTGGGACACAAAATGGATTTTGCTCCACTGCTATCCCTCACTTCTAAAAGCCTCCCAAGATGCTTATAAAACAGTAATTATGACTACTGTTGGCCCCATATTCATTACTTATGCCCATCACTGTTCTCTTCTCTTTGTATTTCTCTTCTCCCTTATTTGCTCTGATCACTTGAGTTTGAGGATTTTTAAATGTATATATTAATATAATTTGTTTCTAAAATATTGTACAGCATCATGAGCACCTTGCCAAAGTGCTACTTTATAAATTAACATATTAATAAGATCATTAAATTTCCACAATATGGAGCAAATTCTAGTTGGTGCCAGGAACCAGCTGAAATACTGAGGAAAATGAGTGGGAGAGAAGGCACAAGCCTTATTAATTGCATGTATTCTCAGTTCACTCAGCTCTTGAATGTGGAAAGATTTACTGGGCACGCTCAGAGGTTTAGCATAAACATTAGCAATGCTACTCCCCTATTGCTAATTTTATATCTATTTTTAGAAAGATAGGCACGCAAATAGATTGCCAAAGCTGTGTTATTGTCCATTTCTGGCCAGAGTTATACATATTTTCTTTCTGTTCCTGATAAGAGTAAGATTATTTACAAGAAGCTGCATGAATGGACCACCGCCTGGCCAAAGTTTTTGGCTCATACGTCTGTAGGGACCATATCCTTACACTCTTTAGCCACATCAAGTCACACTTTTCTGTAGGGTACGTCAGGAGTCCCTTAATTTTTCAGAACAGTCAAAATCTGGTCATCAGTTTCCATCATACATTCTTTCCACAGCTCCCATTGGCTGGGAACAGCAAACTGTGGCCAACGGGAGGTGCAATTGGCTGTATCTGTGGACACACAGGTAAATAAAGCATTTGGTGGCCCACCATAGGCTAACTCTGGAGAACCACATCTAGCACGTGGACCGCTTATTGCCCGCCCATGACCTAGCAAGACCTTGCCTGGAGTTATGGTATATTAAATGGACAGATGTAACCTAGAAGGTGTTGCTGCAGGTCCTTTACTCTCCTATAAGTACATTAACAGAGTTGCTTAGGAGCCTGGGAGAGGGATGTCAAATGAGGAGTCCCCCGGCCAGTTGCGAAGGCTTAACAGATTATGAGGGCTTGTCTCCATCCGTGAATGGACCAAACTCCACCGAGGTCATCACTAAGGACAAATTATACTTCTCTTCAGTTAGAAGAGGCTGGAAAAGATACTAAAACTCAATCTTGTTTTCTATTTACCCTTCACTGAACTCACCTGGAGGTAGCACTGCTGGAACTGAAATCTGAGGATACTAATGTAATTAATCCAAGACTTCCAGAGCATATCTTGTACATACTTATATCTGTTCTAAACGCAGTTATAAAACATTCTAGTGGAAATTTTGTTGTTGTGGGATTCCAGAAGGGCTCTACACCACCTTCAGCAAAATAATAAAAACTAGCGAAGCTGACAGCTTAGATGCAGAAAGTATATGCTAATTTAAGCAGCAGGATCCTTGTGCTTCAAAAACCTTTTTACAGGCTATGAAAAAAGTGGTGTCTTGATTGGTGGTTTATAGCATCTTGCCTCCAGAATTCCCTACCTGGTACTACTGTGATGTTCACATAGACTTCTTAATCAAATTTCCATCATATACAATTAAAGGATTTTTCTGTGACTTTCAGCAGCTCAGTTTTTCAGTAGCTGAAAATCAAGCGGTGTTGTGTCTGCTTCATAGAGCATATCATCTCTAACCAATCCAGAAAGATTTTACAGTTTGAAGGTACCTGGCACTATTGTTGATGATGCACAAGCAGAAAAAAAAAGTACAACTTACTCATCCATACCCTTCTTTATTCCACATTGCTGACTGTAGGAAGAACTTGTTTTTGTGAATAAGCTTGTCAGATAATACATTAGGGAATAGATAAATGCAGTAACAAGCCTCAGTTCAATAGAATTGTTTTTCTAACTAACCAATTTTAAGAAAAAAGCTGATACAACCTTTGAATCCAAGTTGGAGATTGCTATAGTATGTTTCCCTGAGAGAAATAAAGAAATAATTATAATATGAAAAATAAATTAGCACTAGAAATCTAATAAGAAAGCTAAATGTATGTGGTACTATTCACATCAATCAAGATTATGTCCAAATTCTTAAAACCTAACACAAAGCTCAAATGAGCTCCTAACATTACATATATAAATTCTCAATTTTCATCTTTCCCCTCTAAGAAATTTAAGAATTTTATCTTTCATTTTATACTACTGTAGAAGATATAGATATCCCTGACTTCTGAGTATGTGAGGAAGAAATGATTCCTCACCAATTAATTATTTCAATAGCAAATAGTGTGCAGCATTTGATATATAATGTTCAGATAAGCAGAAGTTCCTAAAAGTGTACATAGAGAAATATCTTAAAAATAACAAAATTATGTAAATAATATGGATTTCCTCAGGGAAAATAAAAGGGCAGTAAATGCAAAAAATAGGTCTGTTTGAACCTACAATTATTAAGAATTTTAATATGTACTTTATTTTTCTGGACAGAATTATTTAATGAAATAAGAACTACATTAGTTTGAATTATTAAAATTAGAAATGAGTGCTAATTTGTGACCATGAGCTTTCTTTGCTTAACACAAAGTAGTGAAATCTGTGTATGCTTCAAATAGTAAAAGGAAAGGGGTTTTAGCTGATATCAAGTTATGGGAACTAAGTCTGAACCTACAACCTAATACAAAAGGTGGACTATATCTCTGTCTATAGCTTTCTAGAATGTACTGTAAATATGAAGTCTTGTTGCTATACAATCACCCAGTTAAATATGTTATCTATAACTGGATTATTGTTCATTTAAGTGGCTCAACAAAAACTTGTACTTTGTAGCATGCTATCCTGCAACTACTAAGTACTCTGGTTTGCAAGGTGCTAATTTCCTTATGGTGCGCTAGATATTTTTAACATAACTTTTTCATAGAGGGTGCCAACTTGAATGAAACTCAAGATCGTGCATTGAAACAAGAAAATGCACTGTGCTGAAATGCACACGACTTTCAAACTTCTCCAGCAGTACATGAAGAAATGACCCTTTTTTAAAAAGTTCCATTGTATTATGTCCTTATCAGACATCTTTACAGAATCTAATAACATCATGACCATGGACCAAAGTGAGCTGACACACTCAAGTGAGTAAAATCATGCATGTACATAAATATCTGAATATTTTAATAAAGTTTTATCTAAGTAATTCAATTGCTAACACTCTGAATGATAGTGACTGACTGAATAGGTACTGTAAATCTGCAAAGCAAGGTTCACTGAATGTTAGAGGTTGAAGAGATGTATTTCAGTAGCAGAAAAGCACTTACGCAAAGCACATGAGTGTCTCATTAATGGAACTACTCTTCTGCTTAGAGTCAAAATTTGCTTGCAAGCACTGTTGACTCAGGACCATAGAGGGAACTATTCCTTATAGTCTTGTTTTGAAATACATTGCAAGACAACATGGCCATTTGTTATTTTGTGCTATTTGTTTTGCACTAAGAAAGGTCTAATTCAGAAAACTGGCTGTTTTTTTTTTAAAGACATTGTTTAGCATTCCATAGTTGCCTTTTCTTTGTCAGATTCAAAGACACTTGTCAGAACAAAGACATGACACGTACAGGTCACTTACTTTATGACATACAGCTTGAAGTTTGTACTGCTTATGCGCTCAACGAAGCCATTGACTTGAATAGGAATTCTGGGTGTACAGGAAAAAGAAATTATGGACTATGGGCCCG